TGTCTTTGTTTCACCCTTAGGTTATAAAACTTTTTTTTTTTTTTTTTTTTTTTGTTTTTTTTTTTTTTTTTTTTTTTGGACAAAACCTCTTGTTAAATTAGGTGCTTTCAAAATGCAAGCATCACGCTGGAGAGACTTCCTGGCAGGATGCCCTGAAGGCAAACCTCTCTGATGTGCAACATGTCCTCTCAGAGTGCTCCTGTTGTCAAAGGTAATGCCCAAAAAACAAATTCTGCGGGTGAATATGCACAGTAAGCTGGCAAGGGACAAGGGCTTTTGACACTGAAAGCTTCCTGGTTTGTGTTTGCAGGAAAAGCTGAGGAAAACATCTAGACTTTATTAATAACAAAAGAAATGTTTTTTGTTTTTTTGTTTTTTTTGTGACTGTAACTTAATATTTAGTCCCCATTTTTCATATGTGTTGTTCAAACAATTACCAACGCACAAGACAAGAGACTTTGGCCTCAGTTGTACTTCATCCGGATATCAGCTGGCTGAGCAAGAAACTCTGTAATATTGACCTTTAAGAAATAACTAACTAAAAACTAACTAACTTTGTAACTTACTTGTTTACTCGCAGACTTCATGGCTTGCTGAAAAACTTCATTTTTTACTTTATGACTATTACTCATGTATTGTATTTCTTACCAATTAAGCTGGTAACTGAATTTCTAAATTGCAGGCTTGTATACTGTCTCACTTACAAACTTACTTTTTCTTCACCTGCAAAGTTAAAAACAAACTAACTTACAAGCCTATGAATATACTAACTTTCTGACTTACTCTATTTTCTGGTTAGCTGCTTAGTCTTCCACATATTTATTTCATAAGCTAATTTTCTCATTTGTTCATTAATTCATTCACTTAACTACTTGCTAAGCTTTCATTTTTAATCTTTACTACTAGCTTACTAAGACATCAACAACCTAACTTGTTGATGTCTTAGTAGTTCCTAGAAAATCAAGTTCCTTGATTTTCTAGGAACTTGCCTTCTTATTCACTTAGTGAGTTTCTTGATGACTTGTATGTATACTTGTACTTTATCTCTTTCTTTCTTATTTGCTTCTTTTCTAACCAATCCGAATTACTAACAAAACCACTAACTTACATACTTTTTCACTTTTTATGTAACTATATAGAATAGCTAATCAACTGACAAAATAACTTACTAGCTAATATATTTAGAGAGTCACTAGCAAAATGACTGACATATCTTTGAACAACGTGCTCCCTTACTGACCACCTTGGTTTCTTATATTCATTAACATAATTACAGCTTTAATTAACAAGTCAGTAAATCACAAACTTACTTTTTTTTTGACTAACAAACTTTCTGACTCACAAAGTTTATTTGCACTTTCATTTTCTGTTGTATACTAGCCTATTTCTCTCTAAGTAATTAACTAACTTGTTTCAAGCTTACTTTGTGCTAACCTACTTGATTACTTGGCTAACTAACTAACTAACTAACTAACTAACTAACTAACTAACTAACTAACTAACTAACTAACTAACTAACTAACTAACTAACACTATTTATTTCTGTGTCACTAAGACTCTTGCAACGGGGTGCTTTCTTCTGCTTTCTAAAATCCTAGTTGGGTGATGTGTCAAATAGTTACACCACATTCTGGGAAGGCTGCTACAAGGCTTACTGCTGGTTATAAATCTTGTATCTGTTGAGCGTCGGATAGAGGACAAAATTGCAAAGAATTGCAAAAGAATTAATAAAACGCTTTAAAATGCCTCCAGAACCTGAATTATTGTTACTTTGAAATAACAAAGGGCTGTGTAATGGATTCAAATCAGTATTATGGGCCAATGAAATAAACATGTCTGATTGATGGTCTAGTTTGGTGCAAACATATATTTGATTCTTTTTGCAAATGCAAACAAAGATTTATCACACTTTTAAATGATGTCGTTCAAGCGCTTTCTCTAAAAAGCCAACTTAAGTTTCACTCTTGCATTTTCTGGAGCTGCAATTTCAATTGGCACTTTCGAGAATATGGTATACAAAAAAATAAATAAATAAATAAAAAAAAGTTACCTGATGTAAAATACATAAAATCAGACAATAAAGTACAAACATGACCAAGAGGAGCTTCATTGTTGCTGAGATGTACCAAAACTGCAATGCAAGACTCATCTGGATTTCTACTGAAAGCTCCGGTTTGCTCTATTAAACAGATAAATGTCTTTGATTGTCCAGGGAATACAGGAATGTACTCATCCTGTTCTTTCTGCACAATAAGACATGGGACAATTTAAACCTTCTACTAAAGCTCCTCAATAACCTTTCCGTGCCACATAAATAATACATTTTCAGATCCACCTGCGGTTAAAGCGCATTACAGTATGCGTGCGATTTCACCACTTCGGCTCTTAGATAAGATTTGCTTGCTTTCTGCAGGAAAGCATGCAGGCCATCCTGCAAAGATATTCAGAGAACGCAAATAAGGAGCGGAGCTCCAAACATGAACTGAGGAATGTCAGGATGTTTAGTACGAAACAGTCAGTTGGAGCTTTGTTCTCATTCATTTCCTGAAAATCTTGATAATGACTTGGACTTGTAATGAAAGGCAATGTGACAAGATGCTGTTTCAACTTTTTGATTTTTTTTTTCTTTAATTGGCACTTGTGCGTGTGCATATATGCGCAAATGTGCGTGTGTGTGTGTGTGTGTGTGTGTGTGTGTGTGTGTGTGTGTGTGTGTGTGTGTGTGTGTGTGCGTGCGTGTGTGTGTGTGTGAGTGAGTGTGTCATTCTTTATCAGACTTCACTATCCAACCTCTTACCTCCCCTTTTGGGCCTTTAGGAGCATCCTGTGACCTCTGACCTCTTGGACAATAGAGGCCAGGACGTTTCCCAGTGAGCGCTGATGGAGCCAACAACAGGAACATGAGGGGTGCTCCTGGGAAACAAACTGTTTATTGTGCAGCAGGATGGACAGCCTCCCCCCTCCTCCCCACCCCATTGCCCCAGTCACTTACTTTCTCACACAATCAGAGACACTAACCACACACCTCTCCACAGTAAAATCCTGTCAAACGACAGGTGGCAGCTCTAAAACCTGAACTCTGTTGCAGCAGGCGTGCTCAAATGTCTCATATTTTCTGAAGGAAGTAAGTGCATGTGTGAGGGCTTGTTTCTGGCTGTAACACAAGTACTTGCAGAAAGATAACAAGGATATTCTGCTTTCACCTAACACCCACACTGACACTTTTTTGCATCATTTAGCTTTGAGTTGTACTCTATCGCTGCGTACATGCCGTCCCAGCTATCGCACGCTTTTTCCTTTTTTTTAAAAAATTTGTTTGGAGTAAATCACGAGCTGAAATTTAGTAAAAACCTTAAATTAAAAAAAAAATAGAAAAGAAAAGAGTCTTTACCCAGTCATTTGTTGGTGCTGCCACTGCCTGTCTGTTTCAGAGGAAATCCCTCCTTTGTCTCCCAAGGAAGCTCGGCAAACTAGGAAAACCTGAATTTATCATCAGAGCACAAACAGCTGGAAAACATTTGATTAGGGAGAGTCACCGCAAAATGTATTAGTCAACATTTCACACTAGTTATTACCTACGCTCTGGAGACGGCTCGGTGCAAGAACAGCACAGTAAAACAGTTTCCAGAGCTGTCAATCACCTTGCCAGAAGTGTGGTGCAACCCAGAGACACAGAGGGCCCCAGGGATTTCTCTATAAGTGCTTAACCCCAGAAGGATTACTGCTGCTTTCTGACTCTATGTGTGGTTATGCCTGTGCTCCACATGATGTGCATCTGATGAGGGTGGATCTGATGGGACTGGAGCAAGGGGGGCTGGATTTGATTCCAGACTGTTTTTTTTAATTTATTTATTTATTTCGCTTTCATGAAATAAAATAATCAATCATTAATAAAAGAACATGTAATTAAGAGAAGGAATCCATAACCGAGACTCACTGATTCCCAAGAGTGTGACAGGAAAACGACGTTCTTATGGAAAAAGCAAGTACATTAGTTACACTCAACAGTTTATGTACAAGGACACAACTACACAGCTTTTACCAAAACTTTTTGACTCAAGATTTTAAAATAATATGTATTCAGTTAATAAAAAAAAATGCATGTTTTAAAAAAAAGATTATTAAACAAAATACTGGTTCTTCTAACCATCAAATAAATTAAAATAGCAGAATATGAGAATATCATGACACATAGCAATCTACGGCTTCTTGATACTCTGGGATTCAAATATGAAGTGTCTGTTTCTCTTAGCCGCTCTCGTAAGAAAATATCTACTCTAGAAGAGAGCCACTAACCAAACTCGTAAATATCTTCAGACAATAATTTGAAGTTTAAATCAACCGGAGCAGCGAGAAACTAGGCTGGACAACATGGAGCCATGGATGGGCAGTAAGGAGGAGAACAGTAAGGGGAGTAAAAAACATAAATAAATAAAAATGAAACAAAGCAGGCTCACAGTTAGAGAATTGCAGAAAAATACATTATGTTATCATTTTTATTTTGTTTTTTTATTATTATTATCTTGTTGCACACAAACTCAGAAGTCAGACTGGATGGAGAGAGTCTGTAAAACAAATTTGCTTAAGTCTTGACAAAAATTCTGAACCGGTTTTATCTCTGAACTTTGGGCCATTCTAACATCAATGTGGTTAGATTCAAATGGTCCCACTTTAGCTACGGCGCGTATTTAACTCCTTGCTAACTTAACTTCCTCTGTCCCCACCGTGTTTCATAGTAGGTGTATTGTGTTTAGACCGATGTGTATTTTCCCACCCCGCATAGAATTTGCATATACATCATATTTTTTGCATTTTGTAAAACATTCAGCAAAACAAACAAAAAAAACTTCTTTGTATCATTCAAAAGATTTCAAGAAAGTCTATTCAGCTGTGTTTTTTAAGTGACAAATTGTGAAAAGATCTATCTATCTATCTATCTATCTATCTATCTATCTATCTATCTATCTATCTATCTATCTATCTATCTATCTATCTGTCTATCTAGCAAGCTAAGATGTTGCAAAATGTTGCTTAAAGGCTTGTCTTAGTGTGAGAACCTTTTCTTGTAATTAAAACTAAATCCCTTGCATGCTTGTTAAAACCGTTTAATAAGCACATCCTTGAATCTATAAATGTTTATATGATTACATCAGACTGGCCCTGCAAGCCAAAAAAAACTATAACAAAATAAGAAAAGCTCTCACTCGTGTGCTGACTTGTCTCAATGCCTTAGAGAAAGCCATAGACGTATGGAAAAACTCACTAGTATTTGCTTTTAATATTTGATTTGACTTTTAAACTTATACCTGCAACGAAAGCTACAAAAGTAAAGATAAACACTTGAGGGGGAAAAAAACACAAAACAAAACAAAGAAAAACTCAGAAACTTTCCAGGTCAGAGGCCACCTTAACACTGACAAGCAAAATCAAATCACAGCTAAGGAAATGAGCCATGAACTTCTGATTGCTCCATACATAATGACCCTTTTTTCCAGTTGCTCAGCTCAAGAATTATTTGATTGTGCAGAGTGCTGACTTCACTGCAAACATGAGCACTGCTTGCACATATTGCCTGTGTGTATAATCAAATCAAGACCACTGATACAAGGAGTGAACAAATATCTCTTAGTACGCAGGAACAATGGATCTTTGTTCCATAAGAGAGCCCTCAGAAAGCTAATAGACTGACCGAAGGTAGGACACCTCGGGGGGACTGTGAGCCCAGGCTTGTGCACTGCCATTAATTGGTAGTGCTTTTATTGGATAATTTAGACATTAGCAGGAGCCATTTAAGTTAATTTTGAAAATGACAGCAAGCATATGTGCTTTGTCATGGCAACCATGGGAACAAAAAAAAAAAAAAAAAGAAGTGCTATTGAAGGGAATGTGCAGAGGCACAGACGCAGCATTAGTATGATTTCCACAGTGAGTGGAACGTTTACAGTTGAACTTTCATGTGATCAAAAAAAGATAGATCACGGGAGTCTGCTGAGTCTGTGCTTCCAGATAACACTACATCACTATAATCCTCAGAAAACATATAACCTCACACAGTCGCTCTTTCTGACACATTTAAACCTCGGATAATGCGAGAATTTTGAGACTAAAACTAAAAACAACCATAGGCACCGGTGGGAAATCCCCTTCTATTTCAGCGATGTTTTAATCATAAAGACACAAACATTACTACACATTTCCTCGAAATGTTACAAGCCAGCATTTTAATCTCCGTTGCAGAGGTCCCTGCTGTTTTCTGGCAGCTACAAGCCCCGCTGGTTTAAAACAAGCAATGGAAAGCAAAGAGTCATAATTTGGGACTGCAGAAGGAGCTACAGTAGGGCGACCCTGGGAGGCTTTGTGAACTGAGGCTTAAAGACAACAACGCGTGGGCTTGACTTTGTCTGAAAACCGCATGCTGATAAATGGCCTCTCCAAGTAGACAAACTGAGAACACAAGGCCCCTGCTGCACAAGACCCAAACTGCTACCTCTGCTGCTCACTGAATCTGATTACTGGCAGGCCCCGAGGACAGGCAGGTCATTGAGAGCACCGAGATGAGCAAACAATAAGATATTATCTGAAGGAATCTTCAGTTTTCCAAAGGAAAATGGTCCCTCTCAGTGTCACATTGACGATAGGATCGTCAACCTGACACTGAATCAGCCATTTAAGAAGAATGAACACTACGTCCCATTCATGCACACTCTCTAAAATAATGAGAGGTCTTTTTTCACCCTTGTTTAAGACATATAAAGGGGAGCTCATGCGGTTCTGCGAGACAAGGCCGTGCAGAAACCAGAGCATGCAGCTGACTCAGATGAATATGCCTTTACAGTGATTGGGTGTTGAATGAACAATTCCAAAGACCCCCCCCCCCCCCTGCTTTTTTTTTTCTTTATATACATGAAAATAATATACCCGTTTGACTTTCATTGCTTCTGATCCATTGTTATGCACATCCCCACTTATAAAAAAAACAAAAAAACAGATTATCTGAAAACAAACAGTTTTCCACTAATGAGACAAGGAGTTTCAGTTTAAAGATAAAATAAAAATAAACTTTGCAAAAATATCTTTAAGTGAAAGGTTCACGATACTTCGAGCTTGTTGAGTGATTGCTGTACTTTTGTTCTTTTCAAATAGTGACATCTTGTGGACACCTGGAGTCACCGAATACATTATGTCTTATGCAAACGAAAACCTCTCCTATGAAAAGAAATGTCTGAAAGAACTGCAAAAATTACTTTTAAATCAGACATGTGCTTACATTAAACAATACGAGAGCCACACAGTTTTAAAAGTTTAAATTATGTAGTAATAAATATTATTACTGAAGCCTTGATTTTTCTTCTTTTTTTTACCAAAAAGAAAAAGAAATTGTTTTGAATCTTGTTTAGCTATTGTGATGAAACATTTATTAAACCAATTAATCAGTTCTAGACTACTATATACCTGAGAAAAAGTTCAGCTGTCCCAGCAAAGTTTTCCTTACATTTCCTAACAATATTTCCTTTTTTAACCCCCACACATAAATTATTGAGATCAAATAACAAATTTTAATATTGAGCAAATTAGATAACCTGACTAAATAAAAAGTCTGTTTTATTTTATTTTATTTTTTTTTAAATTATTCTTTTCAGATGTGACCTTCAAACATCTTACAGATGAAAATGAGGAGTGGTGCAAAAAATTTGAACATTTTGCAAAACTGAAGAAAAGACAACACAGACACTGATCAGGCAAGCTTTCAAGAAACAAGCAGATACACTGAAGGAACAGTCATTTCCAAGGTGAACTTGTTGTGGTTTACATGTCACAGCAATCTGACAATCTGTTTCTCTTTACCTGGTCTTCAGAGTAGGGCTTAGAGAAAGAAGCCTTTTTTACCAGAGGAAAAACAAAAAACATGTATTACTAGAATCGCCTAAAAACTTGTGAACGAATATGTTATGGTCTGCCATACTGGACCAACCTGAACTGGAACTTTAGGGCCATAATCACGAACCTTTGTCAAGGTGGGTGAAGTTACAAGCGGTTCCAAATGCCTATCACTTTTAGTCACTTTTTTAGAATAACTTGAGCACAGGACAGTAAGATTTTGAATTGGCGTATGCTTAATTCAAAACTAAATATTGCAGAATATTTGTGGGGTTTCTATATATATATAGAAACATATATATATATATATATATATATATATATATATATATATATATATATATATATATATATATATATATATATATATATAAACACTGCTCAAAAAAATAAAGGGAACACTCAAATAACACATCCTAGATCTGAATGAATGAAATATTCTCATTGAATACTTTGTTCTGTACAAAGTTGAATGTGCTGACAACAAAATCACACAAAAATCATCAATGGAAATCAAATGTATTAACCAATAGAGGCCTGGATTTGGAGCCACACACAAAAGTAAAGTGAAATGTTCCCTTTATTTTTTTGAGCAGTATATATATATATTTATATTACTCTGAACCCTTGTTACATAGGTCTCGCGATAGCAACTGTTCGCTTAGCACGAAGAGGAGTCAGACACACACTGCTAAAATATCTCCGGATGTTTTGTTGCTGTCTGAAGTAAGAGCGACAAAAAAGACACAAGGTTTATCGCACTAGTTGTGCTCCTGCCCAAACGCCCATACCTCCCGCATCTCAGACGTGATTTCTTGACTGAAGGCAGAGCTGAATTCATCGGTACGCGGCCACAGAATCCTAATTGTATGTCTGAGGTGCTAACTGTTAGCTGACAGGCTACCTAGCATAGCCAGCCACTGGAGCAATGGCGTTGAAAAGAATTCAGAAGGTGAGTGTATTTTTTTTTTTTTTTTTGCTTTCATAGCAGGCCAAACATTGTCGTGGATGTTTCTCTTTTAAAATGGCTCGCTGTTTAAAGAGGTATCTTGGTGTTACATTTCTACGGTTAAATTTAGCCTCAATTCTGTGTTTTTTTGGGCTGTTTTTCAAAATAATTCAAAGACAAAGGCGAGTTGACCACCACTGGCCCAGTTGGTGCATTGCTACAGTGATGTTGGCACACAATAATCCGTGAACCGCTTTTTAAATATTGTTGCTTGTTTGGCTGAAATGTTTTCTATTTAAAAAAAAAAACAAAAAAACTTTGCAATGTGTCCTGTCCTTCTGTTGGGATAAAAGTAGTTCAGAAGTCAGTTCACAGATTAACGTTTGGCTAGCTTTTATCGGTACGTTTATGAAGTGGGGACGTTGGATTGACTGGTTGCCATGGCAAAGATTTCCGGATAATTTCCCAGCTTTTCAGTGGTCAGAATCCTTTTAGTATAGTTTCTCTCTAACGCTGTAGCGGATGATGTATTTACTCGCTGAATGACAGCTGCACGGTGGTTGCCAAATTTGAACCCTACAGTCAGTGTTGCCATATATGGAATGGCAAATGGGCCACTGGAGCAGGCTATGGTGTGTATTTATATAATAGGCTTCCTTTCAAGTGACGTTAAATAACAGGATTGATTTCTATTTAAGAGTCTAGTGTTTTGCTGTCTGTGTTGATTGTGTTAATATGTTTATTTGTTGTTGGGTTGGATTTGTGGTTAATAGCAGAGAAGGTGAATAGTTTTATTTTGCTACAAGTAGATCACTTTTTTTTAAATCATTTTTTAATGTAAAACGTTTCTGATTAAGTTTTGTGCTACTTATATTTTAGACACGTTGGATAATTTGAATTACTTACAAAAAACACTTTTAGTTGTAAAACTTATTGCCATGTTTCATAAGAAATATGTTGCATAAGTCGGACTTTTATATCAAAACAAAAAAAATGGGGTTTGCCTTTAAAAAAAACAAAAAACAATTGGAATAAGTATTAGGGAATTGACTTGTAATAACCTTAGCCAGTAGGTCACATTTTTTTACTGTTAAATATATTAATGTGCTTATTAACAAATTCCTTCCAGGTTTTGCAGTTAAGATTAAAAAAAAAAAAAACTACAGTTTTAAGCTGCATTACGAAACAAACTTGAACAACTCTAAAACTTAGTTTGGTCTTTGCCAGCTGCAACTTCTTTTGCCACGTATGCTCCAGAGAAGTTGTGACTAATCTCACTTAGTCATACAACTTAAAAAATACTTTAGTTTGAACTTTGAGTCATGGAGATAAGTTGGAGATTCCTGAAAGTTTGCACTCATAGTAAAAACTGTCCCTATGTAGTGTGAGCTTAAAATGTGGACTGGTTTAAGATAAACAGAAAGTACTGTTGTTTTTTTGTACATTTATGTTACGGTAATAATAGTTGAATCATTAGCTATAAAAGATTGTTTAATAAAACTGCAAGTTTGTTTGTTAAGCCTTTATAAAAATGCATTTAAATGGTTCCTTGTTTTTCTTCAAGGAACTGTCCGACCTGCAGAGGGACCCTCCTGCCCAGTGTTCTGCTGGACCAGTCGGTGATGACTGTAAGTATTGTGTTATGGACGTTTGGCTAAATGTAATAATAATACTAATACCAGGACACCCTGGCTAAAAATATATTGTCTTGTTGCACAAAATAAATATTTTCTGTTGTGTATTTTGAATTTTATATCAGTATATCAAATTTATATAATAGTTTTTTTTTTTCTAAATAGTGTTTCATTGGCAGGCAACAATAATGGGTCCAGTAAGTACATCTGTTTCCAACTTTCAGCTAAAATATGAAGCGATTTTATTTAAATGTATTGTAACTTTGTTTCTGTTTCTATGCCACCAGAGTGACAGCCCATACCAGAGTGGAGTGTTTTTCCTCACCATTCACTTTCCAACAGATTATCCCTTCAAACCACCAAAAGTAAGAGTTGTCTTACACTTTAGTAGTTTTCCAGTTTGGCACGATTAACTCATTAATACTAGTAGAATGCAGATGGTTCTTGACTACTTTTATGTTATTTCATGTTTTGCCACAGGTTGCATTCACAACAAAAATATACCACCCTAATATCAACAGCAATGGAAGTATTTGTCTGGACATCCTGAGGTCACAGTGGTCACCTGCACTCACAGTGTCAAAAGGTAAATACCGGTTAGTTGCTAAAGGAATCACTAGCACTGATAAAAGTAGAGGTGGGTGATATAGTAATTGAAAATATTGATGCGATTGGTGCATTTTCTCAAATGTTTTGTAGCAAATAGGATATTTAAACCAACAAAGTTCATTAAGTATTATATGTAGCAAGGTAATTAATATATATATATATATATATATATATATATATATATATATATATATATAATTTTTTTTTTTATTATTATTATTTTCTCCCTGCAAATATAACTTTGACTTCTGACAGAAACAGAATGAGAATGTATATGTTTTTGCATGTTTCTTTTTTTTTTTTTTTTTGGTTTTTTATTTTTTTCAAGTCAAATTTCTAAATTCTAACCTGTTCTATTGAGGATGTAGAATATTACAAAGTCACTCTTATATGTGACAATACATTGATGAAGAGGATATTTGATGCAAAAAAGTTAGATCACCTTTTTCTCTAGAGAAATTTTTTGCTGGACAAAATAGAAATTTTAAATTGGCTGAAATGTACAGATTATGGATTTTTGGTCAAATTATTGCTTCAAATGTGGGATTCAAAATGTATTTAACTTTGTAGACATTTCTGACATTTTCATTTTGCTAAAAGAAATTCCATTACATTTGGACCGGAGGGATGTGGAACTCTTTAGTTTCTGTAATGTGCAGTGATGTGTGTGTAAGAGGATAGTAGCAGTCTGGGCCTCATACTGTTACTGTTGAACAGCTTCAACACATGAGTTTTCTTTCAGAGATGCTTTTCCATTGGAGGAACCATTTTCAGGAAGCAGTGTAGTTGTCTTAGCCCCATATTTTAATCTTTGTAAAGCAGATGAACCAGGACCAAACTAGTCCAAAATATCACAGTATTCACCAAAATTATCTTGCATATTATCTTTGTCTAATGTCATGTAGCCCTTACTGACATTTAAAACATTAATGCAGTCAGATGTCAAAACAGAAATGGTCATTAATGGAAGTGGAAAGTGCACTAGAAGTATTTCTGGAGGTGGACAAATGAATACTCTCATCAAAGCCATATTTTCAACAGTTTGAACTGTTCATGTTATGATATTTTAATTTTATGATATATCCGAAGTACTGCTTATTAACATTGTAAAACTATCATGACCCCAAGAATTGTCTATTATTAAGTGAATTTGCTGCTGCATGTCTGGCTGGTTAATGCTCCTCTGAAACTCAGACACCACTCAGCCTTTAATCTTTGCAAAATCGGTGAATATTACAAAGCTCCTCTGGGCTATAAGTGGTTTTAATTTATTTTTAGAATGCAGCCGATGTGAAATAATCACAAATAATGGCTGTGAAAGTTATGGCTGTTGTCAAAACTGCCGTGAACAGTCTGGTGTTATTGCTGCATTGTTCTGATTTCGCAGTTTTTAATCAGATTCCGTAATTTGCCTTTTTCCTGGCTGCGATCCTCAGATCACAGAAGCTAAAGCAACTACAGTCCTGGCAGAGGAGGAACCTTTTGATGTCGGTGAATGTAACTTATGTAAAAACTTTGATTGTGGACTTCACAGTGACAACAGCTGACTAATGGTGTAAAGTAGAAGATTATGGGAAAGTAATTTCCAGGTTCAAATGACATTAGTAGTACTAATGTGCTTAAGTAGTACTAAGAAGCAGGTTATCATCTCAGAAGATTAACCCAGGGAGATTGACTCTGGTCACATTTATAGCAATTTGAGTTAAAGGAGAAACTACAACGGAGAGGCTGGAAGAAAGCTAACCTCAACATCATGTCCGCATGTAGATTGCCAACACCTAAAATCTGGTTAGACTTCTGTATGTTGTGATTTTTGGACAAGATGTGTTTTTTAGATATTGAATATTTTTCTCCAGTTGACAGTTATTAAATTTATTGTCTAACTTTTAAGCTTTTCATTTATTTCTCCACAGTATTATTGTCTATCTGCTCCCTTCTTTGTGATCCAAATCCAGATGACCCTCTGGTTCCAGAGATTGCTCATACATACAAAGCTGACAGGGAAAAGTGAGTGCATTCTGATTTTTTTGTTTGTTTGGTTGGTTGGTTTTTAGGGAAATAAACTTAAATCAGAGGTTTCCAAAGTGTGTCCTAATGGTCATTTACTGCCCTTAAAATAATTTTGTGAGGCTTTTGGCCACTTGGACAAATTCTCATTTAATATGTTCAATAACCAATTAGCTGGTTTTACTCAAATGACGACTTCGGTGCAACCAGGGATTAAACTTGGCTAAATGCAGCAAGTGTTTGCAAAGAGAGCGACCTGCTTTATATGTGCTTGTTGCTGAGAACCGTTTAGGAATACATTTTAGATCAGAGCTAATCTTCTAAGAAGTTTTCTAAAAAAAAAAATAAAAAAAGGCAGATATAAGATACCTATTTTATATTTTGCCTCCACAATGTATCCTTTCAATAGTCTTCTTTGAACTTTTCAACAAAATATGGCATTTCCAGTTTATTGTTGGAACAATTGAAAATTTCACGATAAAATCATTTCCCAATTTTTCTTTTTTTATTTTTTAAATAAAAATTAATGACACTATTGGGGCCTGCAAGTGCATTTAACTTGAGGTTTTTGGACACCACTGGTTTATAAAGAGTACAGCATCCAACTTGAAACCAATCTAAACTGTTGCTTGCTTTTTCCAGGTACAACAAACTAGCAAGAGAATGGACACAGAAGTATGCTATGTGAGAACACCAGGGAGATCAAAATACAAACGAGAACAAAAGAACCCACAAAGGATTTGTTACTTGATACAAATGAACAACGGAGATGAGGGAAACGAAAAGTTTAAAAAACAAAACAGCCCACATTTTGAGAAGGAAGCGATCCAACGCGGTACGGCGCCTCTTGGCTTTTGGTGTGCTGAGCTGCTACAATGTGCTGTCCTTCATTACCGGTATAGATCTGCAGAGCAGGACCCGGCGGCCTACTTAAAGCGCTCCCATATGGAATACTGGAATTTCTTTACAGTCCCTGATGCCACACACTGACTGTAAACTGGTAGTCATTCTGTCGTGAATTATCACGGTTGTTATTCATACGCTTCATTCTCATCGTCGTGCTATTGTTCTGCAGAGATGCAAACTCTTCGATCTAGGAGAGTGGCTTTTCCTTCATTTCAGAGGTACTTCATGCACCCTACTGGATTTCTTCTTATTTCTGTACTTTCATGTATTTAGTGGCCTTTCTGTGTTAGACTGTTTAGTAGATGTGCAATTGAGACAGAATGTTTCTTGTTGAACACAAAAGGGTACGGCAGATCGATTATCTGTTGGCAGTAACTGTCTCTACCCCAAAATAATGTGAAACTCAAAAGAAAAAAAAAAACAAAAACAAATTAGTCTCGGTTGTCGTCAGTAATTGAAACTCAAAAATAATTTTACAGTTTTGAAGACACTGGAGAGCTACTGTTTTAGAGTCAGTGTTCTGGGACCCCATGGGCTAGATTTCCATTCCCCTACTCTCACACACGTTGTCATTGCACTTGTATACGATAGAAATAACCACCGGTCACTGATCTTTTCATTGTGCAAAACAATACTACTGTCATTTTGTGTAACGTAGCTACAAACACGGCTAGTCCTCCACTTAATGCTCCGCTGTGCTCCACCCCGTTGGTACAGTTACTCAGGTATCTAACCAAGTTATCAGACTTGACGAGCATCGACCCATTATATTATCTTCCCTTTATGTACAGTGCTCATCTCTATTCACCTTAGGAAAAAATAAAAAAGAAGAAAAAGCCAATTTTTCATGAAGAGGCAATGTGTTGCGCACAAATAAATGCTGTGTAAGAAGTACTGTCATCCTCACTATCCCTCTGCAGGACTTTTGATATTCATCAAAGAACATCAGGATTTCATGAGCTTTCAGATGTCATAATGAGACTTACACGCTACTGTTTTACTGTAATACAAGGACCCTCTAGTTTATGGTGGTGTCCCTTGTTGTTGAGGAGTCTGTGCAAAACTTTGCCATTTTAAGTCATGAGCACTTAGTTACTTGACACGTTAAATATGATGACACTATAAATTGCTTTAAACAGATGATATGAAGCTTTGTTGTTTTTTTTTTCTTTTTTTTTGTCATGTTCATGAGGGGTCTGCAAAGTTTTATTTTGGATTTAACTGACAGTAACACATTTTGTCTGGGTTATACATATGTGACTGTATTTTTCGAAAGCTTTTAGTTTTAGGCTTATTATTTTTCTTTATGTCACAAAAACTGAACGTGATTGTGAAGTGTCATGATGTCATATTTTTAATATACTCCACTGCTGGACAAGGCAGATAAGAAAAGTTGTGATTGTGTCTCATTATGCTGGTGCTGCCAATATAAAGGGAAATGTTTTTTGTTTTTATTTTCTGCTATTGAGGCATTATTGAATAGGTTTAACACAAGGAAGGTGCATAGTTAAGCATGACTGATTGTAGAAGCTTTGTAGAATTAACACTGAATTAGGCACATAACATAGATTATTATTAGCTGTTGTTATAGAAGCCAGTTAAAAACAAGTCCTAGAAAAAAAACCCAATGCATTCTAAAGCGTTAAAAGTATATTCTCTATATGCAGTGAAAGGCTTAGCTGCATGATCCAGTTGCTCTATAAATTCAGTTCAAGTGCAGTCATCTATTTACATGTTCCAGCTGTGCAGCTCAATTCGCCCTCGAGTATAAATACGAGCGATGCCACATTTTAATTTCTCTATCCAGCGTGCGCCGTATAATTTTTTATAGGCAGCTTTGGCATGCTTTGCACTCTGGAGAACCTTCTCACAGCCATTTGCCAGATATCAGGGATTTTGTTACATTTCATCTGCCTAACACCTCAAACTAAAACATTTATTAGCCTTAACCCTCATTTTTATATATCTTGGAGGATGTGTCGTTAACCGTAAATTAGCTGTCAAGACCTTGGCCCCAAATTGGGTTGTTCGTCCCGTTCAAAGACACGGGGAACCTGCTTGAACAGTACTAATGTCATGGCTTTTGTCGGAATGCAGAACCTGCCTTCACGCATCTGAAAATTTGGAGTAAATTATACTTCACCGTGAACCTACATGTCTTTACATAGTAGAAACAAGATAACTAATAATGACATTGTTATAACATGAAAATAAAGTTCATCTTGGTTTACTGCTGTCTGTTTGGGTGTTTGTGTGTTTATACGATGAGCTAGTGAGCCAGTGATGGTGTCGAAAGAGGCATAAACATTTCACATTAAAAACATTTCACATAAACTGAAAGTGTTAAGGAAACTTGTGAGCCGTTAGTCACGCGTGCACGAATGTGGCCTGTACGAAACTGTCAAGATGAAAAGTCCTGTGTGCAATTTGCTAAAACCCAAAGAGGGAAGTTCAGACATGTGAACGAAGACCCAAGTTGTTTTGTTTGACCTACATGCAAAACACTTTGGATGGCAGAACATCAACACCTTCTCGGTGACACACAGTGGTGGCAACATGATGCGAGCTAAGTGAAGGGCAGTACTGGAAGGAATACCTGTTAGGGCCTGCAAAATAGTTGGGGCTGGTGCAGAATTTCACCTCTCAGTGGGAGGATGACACTAGACATGCAATAATTACATTGTGCACATCGGTGATGACATGTCTAAATAAATTATTTAACTCAAGGTTCTCCACCGAAGTTCACGATATAACTTTGGCTAATATGGAACTGAAATTATTTAAATGTTTCTTTTTTTCCCCCCTCAACAAAATGTACTTCTCATTTTAAATGTTTGCTTTGTTACCTAATAAAATAAATGCCGTTGTGGTTCTTAAACTTTACCATAAAGCAACCTATCTTTTAATTGGCAGTTTTTTTAAAACCTGGTGTATTCTTTTCAGTGTTCCTCAGTTCTATATATTTTTGCATTTAAGTACAAATAAAGACAATTTGAATAGTAAAGATTATCGTCCCCTGGCCAGATCAAGGCGTATTCATATCTCAGAACGGCCTAATCAAAGTCCTCGCTGAAATCCGATTGAGAACCAATGGCGAGACTTCGAAACTGCCCGCCAGTCTGAGCTTGAGTTATTTTGAAATACAAATTTCTCCAAGGAACATTGGTAAAAAAATCCTAATTACAATGAAAGTCCTTTTACACATATTGACTGTGGGAGCTGACTATGTATATTTTTATGTTTTTATTTGTGTAGTTGTGCTGCTTGTGTTGTTTTAACACATAAACAATGTCACATGCTGCTTTTATTTTAATTATGTGAAGCACTTTGAAATGCCTTGCTGCTGAAATGTGCTATACAAATAAAATTTGATTGATTGATTGATTGATTAAAATCCACTGAAGTTTGTAGTTGGGGAAAAAAATATATATAGTGAATACTTTTGCAGGTTCAGCACGAACCTTTATTTGAAGTGTCTTTAGTTTTTATAACTCGGGGGCCTTTAAAACGCTTCTTGCCCAGGGGGTGTCTGTTTGTAGATGGCCACTGATTACCTTTCACCGACGCACACTGGGGTACATTTGATTAACAAATTCGCATGCGCGGCTTTTACGGAGGCAGAACTACACATTATTTAAAAAGGGAAATATTCGTCTATATACCAATCCTCTTGAGAAACAAAGCGGTGCTTCTTAGAAATGATTCGGACAGGACATGAAATTGCAGTCATGTATATTATCAAGCGAAAACGTGTTGAGGAGCCCCTCCATCCGGGAGTCTCGGCGCCTAATATGGAGCACACCCTGGGCGAATGTCGCTGAAAGTCAGCATCGCTGCCACTCCTCCTGCAGGAAGGGCGCAGCCCACAGAGAGCTACCTCCATAGCTGTACTCGGCAAAAACGATGGCTGTTAACCTCAGCAAAAATGGCCCTGCGTTAACAGCTGCCTATAAAGAAGTAGTGGATGAAAAATCCGACACGAACTGGTAAGGGGCACCACCTTTAAAGCGGCGCTAGCGCCTCACAAGAGGTTCGGGTTAGCTTACAATGTTTGCTAGCTTTTAGTGTGTCGTCAAATAAGTTGCATTGAATTTGATTAACTTACATGGTAACTTGATTTCTATTAGTATTTGCCTGCTGGAATTTACGATAATAATAACCTCAGTATAAATTAGAGTTCTTCTCATGGGATGAATTGTCGTGCTGACAACTGATTGGCAGGAATGTTTAAGGTTTGGAATATGCTAACCTAATACCTGGTAATCACGGAAGCATGTAATTTTAGTGAAATGTTACCTCATGTATATTTGTAGCACTTGTTAAATGATCTAATAAAGTATATGAGGTAAGTCTTTCACCTATTTCACCCACTTCCTGGCGAGATAGAGGCTAAACATGACTGAGTATGTGCGAGGCAAATTGAGAGACTTCCTCTTTCAGATAACAAACCTCACAGCGCTGACACTGCCTCTAGATAGAAACCTGTTGATGACCGCTGCAGTGTTTAACTCCGACCTGAATTACTTAATCCAAAGGGGAAATGCTCCGGGAATCCTTTATAGCTCGGACCTCCCTCTAAATGTATGTTCTGAATGTTTCCCTGTGTTTCTTTTTTTTTTTTTTTATCTTTTTACAGCCCTCTTTCACTTATTCAGTAACTCTAGTTATTTTTCTTCCCGTTATGTTTTGCAGACTGGATGAAACAAAAGGAGAATAGGGATCTGACTTTGCTTTGGAGAGAGCTGGTTTCTGATTCTAAGAAGTAGTTTGCACTTTGCAAATAGGAAGGAAATGTATTTTCAGTGTTTGTCTTTGGTTAAAAGTAGAAACTTCACTGATCTGGCTTCCCCTGTCCGATACCGATTTCTGATTTTTTTTTTTAACCCTTCCGCTTTTTTTGTGCCCCATTATGGACTATGTCACTTTAAAAAAGAAAAGTGTGACCCGTTTGCTTTGATAGACATTTTAAATCCAACAGAAAGTGAATTAATTTATAAGATTATCCCATTGGAATGGTTACTTTACTTTAGTATAGCACCAAGCTGTTGGTTGATGCATATGTACATTTAGTGGAAGATTTTAGTCTTGATTCATATTTATGAAAAGTATTTAAAATGATGTCTGAATACCTTCAGTGACCCAGTCTGTGTGATTGATGCATCTCTAGTTAAAACCTGGTAGATACTTCTGTCATTTTCTGCTTCATGTAAAACACACAAAATAGTTTGAATTGCCAAGCAAATAAAATTATATGAAACCTTCAATTAAGACAAAGGCCAGCAGCCTAGAAAGTTTACTAACATGTCTGTTTCTAAAGAGGATTAAAACTGCAGCAGCCGTATTTACACAACTCTACTTCCCTAAAAGATCTTGTGTGAAGAGGGGCTTAAGTGTCATGAATGCTTAAAAAGGGTTAATGAGTGATAAAACGCTGTACATCCTTCTGTTTTCCACAGGGCCTTGTTCACCTACGAGGGAAACAGCAATGACATTCGCCTGGTAGAAAAAGGAGGTAAATAACCCAGTTGTTGTTGTTGTCGTTATCAAATGCGTGCAGGAATGTCTCTGTCAGCATGCAGTCGTGGTGCTCGAATCTGAGCACAAAAGAACTGCTGGTCTTTGCTTTCTAAAGCCCAACATTTGCAAGAGGGGGGGGAAATATGTCCACAGTTACACAACAAACCACAAGAAGCCATCGAATTCTTCCACAATGTTTGTGCATCAGATGGAGGCCTGGAGGAGCTGGTTGAGGAGCTCAACAGTGGAAAAGTGATGTATGCTTTCTGCCGGGTCCAGGATCCCAATTCCGGTCTGCCGAAATATGTCCTCATCAACTGGGTCAGTGCTGCATGGTTTCTGTCCTGCGTTTAATTAAACGCGCGGCGCAGTCACCCCTCGTTAAACGCTTCGATAATGGTTTGCGTTTCAGACCGGAGAGGGTGTGAAAGATGCCAGGAAGGGAATATGTGCAAACCACGTCAGCGCCATGGCCAATTTCCTCAAGGTAATGGCGAATGTTTGAGGCTACATGAAATGTGCAACTTTTTCTGTTTTTTTTTTTTTTTTACAGTGAAAAAATGATTTTAAAAAAAGCGTGACGGGTAGTGCGCAAGAAAAAGGTTATGTATTTATCTTCTAGCTTAACTTTTTACACCTTGCCGTTGCTGCAAAATGTCAGAAAAGGCATGTAGTTTTATCCTGCATCATTTTCTGTCAGCACAGTTGCTGAGAAAATTGCCATCACAGGATTGGCAAAAACTCTTTTTTGAATCTTAGTTGTTTATTGAAAGTTTGCACTTAACATCTGGGTATTTAGTAGTCACATGTCTAAATTATAATTATGATTCTACCTAATGATACTAAACAAAAAAGGGCAAAATTGTCCTTTTTTTATCACTGCATCCAGTTCTGATGGTAGAAGTGAGTTAGCCTCAAGGTTGCACAACATTAGCTCTATTTAGTTTGTAGTTCTGCTGCTAAAAGTTGTAGTTTCTGAAAAGATTATGATAGTAAACAATTCAGGGCTTTGGAAAAGCCCTAGAACATTTTCACATTAACTTAACTATAAACCTTAATACACTTTAAGCGATAGATCAACACAAAGTAACACACACTTTTTGAAGTTCAAGGAAATGATTCATGGTTTTCAAAATATTTTTGCTAATCTTTTGAGGTACGTCTTTTGCCTCTGGAGACAGAAATGTTTTCAAAATACTAGCGATGTGCCGATCAGTCAGCTCTGAAAATCGGTATTAGTCAATATTTAAATTGGTCAGGCTTTTTAACGATCAGTGATCGGCCAGAAAACTGCAATCGGTGCACCCTGACCTAACACCTCAATCTCATCATCATGTCTGGCCGCAGATTCTCAGTTGGATTGAGCTGATTAACCTTGGTCTTTCTGAAAGTGACTTACTCTCTTTTTGATTCGCATGGCGGCTGCTTGTTGCAACATTTAAAATGTGGTTGTGCGCTGAAAGAGCACTGAAGTCTTTTTTTTTTTTTTTCCCCGCGGCTCCAGGGGGCCCATGTCACCATCAATGCCAGAGCAGATGAGGATGTGGAGCCTGAGGCGATCATGCAGAAGGTGGCCAAAGCTTCAGGAGCAAACTACAGCTTCCACAAGGAAGCCTCCAACCGCTTCCAGGACAGCGGCCCTCAGGGGCCCGTGGTACGCTCCCTCCCCAACAGCATAAGAGATCTCAACGCATTTTTATCAGTGTAGACATAGAACATAAAATATATCTGTATATTTTACTTTAAAATTGCTCTGTGTAACTTTTATGAAAGATGTTTTTGTTTTTATTTGTTTTTTTTTTTTTTTTTTTACATATCTAATAAAGCTGTCACTATGAAAGTATAGGACGAGACAGATGATCTGTGAAAAAATCAGCAGAAATACAGATCGGTCAGAAACAACCAATTAGAGCCAGGAGGGTCTCGGTACTGTCAATCAAGCTTGTGTATGCGCTGCTCGCACCCTCTGTTTGCTCTCTGCCTATAACGGAGCCTGTCACGAATGCTCAGGCTAGTTGGCTTAGCCACCGATGACGGCAGGTGAGCAGTTCTTCTTGTGTCTCTGCTGTTTGCACATTTAGCAGCGCGTACACAAAAGTGACAGACGGCACTAACGCATTCCCCTTGGCTCTGATTGGTTGTCTTTGGCACTAAGAGGGTTTGGAGGAGCTTGATATTTGTATTATTATTTTATTTTTTTCCCACATGTTATCTTCCTCAAACAATCAAACATGCTTTTATAAAAGTTACATACTGCAGCTTTAATGAATCTAGAAGAGCTAAAACATAGAGGCGAGGTGCTTTGGTGTCTGGTTTAACAAACACTTTGCATTGCTGTGGGTTTTATGTATCTGTTTTATACTTAAACAGTGTTTTGTGCTTTTGTCTCCCCTCAGGGTTCAGTGTACCAGAAAACCAACGCCATGTCAGAAATAAGGAAGACCAATAAAGACAACTTCTGGGCACAGGCAGAGGTACGTCAGTTGTAGAACCGTTTCCATGGAGATCTGTGGAGGTTCGCTCTGACCTCAGATGGTCGCAAGACTGACATCAGTCTTGTGCAGCAGATTCTGCTTGCACACTGAATCTGCTTGGTTGGCACCATGGAAACATTTTGTGTAGAGAAAAAAGAAAAACCGTCCAAGTTCCTATCTTGGTCTAAAAGGAAGTGCTAAATATTTTTGAACTATATTGAAACTCCTACAGGTTTTTGAGGTTGAAGTTGTTTATGGAAGTGATGAGACTGTCTCTCTCTCTGTTTTTAATGGTGTAAAATTTCAAACGAATTCTGATCCGTTGTTTTTTGTTTTTGTTTTTTGTTTTTTTTTAGAAAGAAGAGGAGAAGCGTCGCCTGGAGGACCGTCGCAAGGCCGAGGAGGAGCGCCAGAAGCTGGAGAGGGAGAGGAAAGACCGAGAGACCAAAGAGGCAGCGCAGAGGGACAAAAGGGACAAGGAGAGATCTTCTCAAATCGATCAACAAAAGTAGGGAGCGTGTGCTCTGGTTCTGGCTTGTTCGTAACAGCATCTTTTAACGGGATCGTCCTCCTTGTTTATTTCCTGGCAGGAAGTATCAACAGCAGCTGGAAGCTGAGAGCAAAGAGCAGGAAAAGCAACGCTGGGTGAGTGTCTGACTCTGACAGCCGACTAAATGCTTTTCAGCTCTTCAGTCTGCTGACTGGGATGAACAACAGATTCTTATTTAAGTGGAGTTGGTTTACTATAAAACACTGTTTTGGTAGCTGAGGAGTGCTGGGCATTTTCCTTCTTCGCCATTTCATACCTGTGTTGATATTGTTTGGGTTGATCAGTGAAAAATAACAGCGCCCCCTGCAGGACGTTTTGGACATTGACAGTGGAAATTTTTGCCCTCGCTTTGACAATAAATCCTTTAATAATGAAAGTAAACTTTCTTTGAAAAGGGACTGTGTGCAGCTCAAACATAAATGTCACCATTTGATGGATTATGGCATAAGCTAAATCTCATCTGCAGTCTCTCGGCAGGTTACAAAAAATAGATGTACAATAAAAGAAAAGAAAATATAACACTGCAAGTGACTTCTAGTCACACTGGCACAGACAAACGTACACCTACAGACTTGATCACTGGCACACACTTTTAGTTAATGATTTACATAGCTGAGCAGTTTACGATTAAAACAATTTACGACATTTACTGGGAGTCTGCTATCAAACATGTTTGTGTGACTCCAATAAATATGGATCAAACCAAAACCAGTGGAGAAGCTGTGTCATGCCAGGTTTTCTGAAAAATATCTTACTTTTTGTTACCTTTTTTATTAGAAATTCGAACTGGTTTGAACCATTTGACTTACTCTGTTGATTTGTAATGTCAATCTTTTAAAAATACAACTTGTTAAATGCCTCAAAACACTTTTTTAAGCTTAATAAAAATCCAGTCTGTTCCATAAACGGGAAAAACGTCTCGCAGCAGCCTCTGTCACAAACCCCAGTTTTCTTCAGAACATCTGCATCGCCCAAGAAATTTCTGATCCATGCTTCACCAATTATTATATTTACTTATTTCTACAAAGAGGAAAACGGATACCATTTTAAATTGCTGAATAATCGATGGGTGCGAAAAGGTGATTGTGGGTAAAATGCGGTGGTGTGATTTGGCGAAAGGGCAGAATGACCCAGAGGCGTAGTGCGCATATCTTGTGAAAATCGTGCCAAACTTAATATCGACACCATCAGGAGGAGCAGCAGCAGCAGAACGATGCAGCTCAGAGGAAAGCAGTCAGGAGAGGCGACTCTGTGGAGAAAGCCAACGTGAGTTTTCCTTCCCAAAAAAAAAAGACAGTCTCTCCTGAAGCACCTTTTCCCTCGGCTCTCGCCCTCTTTAAGCTTCACATCTTTGAAGCTCTGTTTCCTTCTTCCAGTTTAGATCTGCAGCACAAATTTCTTAAAAAAAAAAAAAAAAAATCTTTACTAAAACTTTTTCGCCTACTAATGAATCTAGATTTTAGGCGTTTTGTCGTATTATACTGTTTTTTTCTTTTTTTTTTCTTTTTTTTTCTGTAGGAAGCGGCTTCTCTGATCTCTCAGCGCGCCGTGAACCCCAGGGAAATGTTCAAGCAGCGGGAGCGAGGAGTGACTCCCAGCGACTCGGACGCTCCCTCTGCTGCCCCCGACAGCCCTCAGCCAGGTATTGCCCCAGCAGAAGCATCTAACGGCTTGCTTAATTTGCCCTAGCCAACCTTGCATCAGCGTAACACTTTCCTGACTTGCCGTCAGGGAGTGGTAGGTGTGACGGTACATACTCAAAGCTTTTCATCAGACTGTCTAGTTTGCCTCATGGTCGTACTTAACTCTGTCTCCGTAACCATGTCTCTTCCTCCGCTGAGTCTGCCTCCTCCTTGTCTTCTCTCTCATCCATTTGTGGACCCGTGTTTGGGGGGTGTGCTTGTTTCGTCTGCTCAGGGCGACTTCGAAGCCCTTTTCTGTCTAAGCAAGCGTACGAATCTGAGCGAGCCGGCTCACCTCCGCGCCAAGCTTCTCCTTCTCCTGTGCCAGCTGCTGTTGTCCGTGCCACAGGTCTGAGCTTAACACACACACACACACACACATGCACAAACATACACATATTGACAGGAAGACTGAAACACACCTTCATCTAAACCCAAGTCATATCAAAAGTAATTGTAGCAAAACAAAAAGTGATAGGAAATCTGAGATGTTACTCACACCCACTACTTCTGATTGATTTATTACTGAGAATCAACTTCCTGAGTAAAATATTTCCAAAAAATGGCTTTCATCAAAAATAACACGTGGCTGATTCACACATTAAAACGTGAAAGTGTGGGATTTGATTTGTATTCAGCCCCCGTTATTCTGATGACACAAGATAGCAACCAGTAAATTCATAAGTCACCATATTAGTAAATACAGTTCACCTATGGCCCAGAGATGTGGGGAAATTTAAAGCTATAAATCAGTACATGTCAGAGCGTTGTTCAGTCCATCTTCTGAAAATGCAAACGGACGTGGCTGTCGACCTAAGCTGACAGGTGCAGGTAAGGACGACGTTATTCAGAGAAGCAGCCAGGATTTCCATGGCAACTCTGGTGTAACACAGGCCCAGGCCCCAATGTGCGGCGAGACTGCTCTCTGTTCAGACTGTCAGAACTTGAGATTTCTGCAAAGAATGAGGAGAAATATTTCCACCAGATGTGCAAATCTATTAGACATACTCTGAAAGCTGTTATTACAGTGAAATGCGATTCTGCAAAGTACTGAGTCAGATGGGCTGAATACAGCAGCACGCCACACCTTTCAGATTTTTCAAAGATTCTTCTCGATATGAGAATGTGCTGCTCTGACACGTCAGTGTTGGAAATAAGGCAGTGTTACAGCTTAAAGCGGCGAATGACTGGTATAACTCATGTTCCGGCTTTTACACACAAAAACCTGTTTCATTCGTCATATTTGTCATCCTCTCCACATTTCTCATGATGTTAATTTTCATTCTTCATCACGCTTTACGCTCAGCTCGTCCTGTGGACTCCCTATGTTGTTTTTTTTTTTTTTTTTTTTAACGTAACGAACGCTCTAAGTGGGTCCGGTGGCGGCGTTGAACCTGTGTGGACTTGTGAATGTGCTCCATTGTCTACCTGCGTGTCTGTGCTTGTGTTTTGGGTCCTAAAGAGCCGGATTTGAATGATGATCAGGCCACATTTGAGAAAGATGAGCAGGAGCAGGAGACTCCTCCCCAGGAAGAGAGGAAAGGTGGGGTTCATTTCATTTCCCATCACCTTTAACCCATCATTGATCAGTTTTCACAACCCTGCCATTTATTTAAATGAGCTATCTTTGTTTACTTTGAGTAGCTTTTTTTTTTTTTTCTGCTTGGTTGTTTGTGCTGCCACATGCTGGCAGGTGACGGTCCCTAATCTCGCAGTATTTCATTTTTTATGTTTTTGTGTTTTATATTTTTTCCCCAGAGGAGGCACCAGCTGCTAACTCGTATGTTGAAGAAACACCTTATGAAGAGCCTGCCCAGGTTGGTGTTCTCCTCTCTGCAGAAAGACACTTCAATCATAAGACGTACCTGAATCTGCTGCGTGAGTTAATGTCGTTTCTCTTGCAGGTCGATGAGAGCAACAATTATGAAATGACTGTAGAGGAAACGTCAGACAGAGGAATCTGTGCCAGAGCGTTATATGACTATCAGGCTGGTGAGTTGTCACAATGCAATATAAAAGGATGGATTATGTCTGTTCTGTGTTACTACTGACTGTCATTTAAACAGCCTGTTAGGGTGGAAATAACATTTCTTTTAAGTACCATTTACAAAAAAATGTAAACGTAAATGCTCTCATTTAAAACAGAAGAGCAACATGTGTTCCTCCTGCTAGTAAAGTAATATAACATTGATTATTACAGTTGTAATAATGTGATCTCTAATATCGATATATATTTTTTGCAAGAATCCGAAATAAACTTGCTAAATATAATTGTAGTTTTCAAGTAAAGTATATTATCTTTTCATTCTTCTGTTTTGTAGAGTCACAGAAGCCAAACAGGCTGACATTAGCTAGCTAGCTAGCTAGCACTGCTTGGTTCAGCTTATTGTCTTCACATCATTACACACAATGGTTGTAGCTTACTAAGCTGACATTTAAAACGGCGTTGCCTTAGTAATGTTTAACGACGCCTCTTTAGTTTTGTTAAATATAAAACAATCTTTAGTTTTCTCTCTCTCAAGCTAAATATATCAGCAGTTTTAGTAAACCACATTCAAAGATTTTTTTTAGCCACAAGCCTATTGTTGCATCAGTTTGTTACCGTTGTCACCAAGCTCAAATGCAGTTCAATGCAAACTTAGACAAAATGCAAGGTTAAGTCCTCCAAATTAAAACAAGTACTGCTGGGCACACATGCAGAAAAACTTCAGTGTCATCTTAGCATCTAGGCACTTCTAATTTGCCTATTAATGTTCTCCTTTTAGCATCTGCAGTGTCGTTTGTAAGCTGGTGGTTATTTAGGTTGGGGAACTATTACTCTGATCTCCACTCTCTCAAGCAGCAGAAGTCGTGCAACAAACTCAGAAATGCCACTGGGCTAGTTACTTTTTTCTTGCCAACTACTGTTTTTATTCATATTTTAAAATAGCTTAAAAATATTTAGTAATTATGGTTACAGTCAATCTGTAAAGAACCGTGACACTCATAACAATAATTGTATATCTTTTGCATTTACATATAAAAGGAATTCGCAGAACTAAACCTAAAAAAAAAAAAAAAACAAAAAGAAAGAAATGATACTCATAGTGGTTTAACCACAGAACTTCAGTTCTAAAACATCAGACCCTTTCCCAAAAAGGATGTTTCCACTGACTTTATACGAAGCTCTTTGTGTCAAGTCTGTACCACACTCTGCTGCTCTAAGACTCTGATACCAATTAGTGGCTGTGAAAAAAAACAAAACTGGGTAACAGTTGTGTGATATTATTAAGCTGTGCATAAATACTTCATGTAAACTATGAAGGTATAACTTAGGCCAGTTGTGTTCGAACTCTGCCAAGTGGAACAAAATCCCAAAGTTTAGACACTTGCAGGATACAATTTAGTAATTAGTTTTCCCCCCAAAAATGCACAATTATAATGGTTTTTATTGTAGTTATTTTTTTTGTTTACCATTTAACAAAGTACTCAAATTTCTCAAAAAAAAAAAAAATAACTAAAAAAAAATCTGCATATCACTTAATAGGACCCCAACTACCAAGAGAGTTTTAGACTTGGACTCATTTAGTAACTTGACAAACCTCAACGCAATTTAATAGGTCAGAACTGACCAACAAAACATAACATGTACACCATCAAAACGGTTTACAAGTGTAATATTTTCTGTAAACTGTTTTGATGGTGTACATGGTTTTTTTTTGTCAGTTCTTATGGATTAGATTGGAATGAAGAAAATGTTTGTTTTTATTTTGTCAGGCTTAAAATGGGTCCTTCTTCCTTTCAAATTAAAATATATATTGCTAATAAAATATAAACCCTGTCCTATAACCCAACATTTAAAATCAAGTATTTTACAGTATGTTTTCTAATAATCATATGTTGCACATGATTATTTTCTGGCACAATTTGCCCCAGCAGACGATCAATAGAAAGGCCGTTGGAGATTGTTACTTTAGCTGTTTGAAGCATTGTTTCGACTAGTCTTCAAGGTCTTTAATACCTTAATATGCTTCAAAATGTGATTGAAAACCATTAATGTAGCGCACAGTAGCACAGCTTGAAGGAAAAAGGTGTGGGGAAATAACCTGGCCAATTATGTGTTTAAGACTAAGTACCATTTAGAATAAATAAATGTGATTTATTTGTGGCTGGTTGTCAGAGGAGAACTGATGACTACTTAAATGCTGCCAGATGTTGGAAGATGAATGTGCGTCACAAGTGGTTATTGAGCTTCATGGTGACTTACAGGCTGACTATTTACTTCATTCTCTCACCACAGCTTAAGAAATCAACCATTTCTGTGCCAATTTTTCTTTTTTTCTTTTTTTGTAAATTGCATTTCGTGGTTGACATTTGTTAGGAACGGAGAACATAAATTACAGACCGAGTCTTTGGTGTGAATTTCACCGAGGGATGTTGCAAGTGTAACAGTTTTATCCTGAGCGCCCTCCTAAGGTTTCCACTCAGCCTCTGCATCAGTGTGTGATTCTCGATCTGATGATAACCTTGAGGGGAAAAACAACGGGTTCAGTTTTAAATGGCATTTAAAGCAAAAAAAACAAAAAAACATGTGGAAGTTTATCTAATCGCTTTAACGTAAAAGATGTGCTGCTAAACTGATTTTAATTCCAGAAAAAAATAGTTTCTACAATGTTTGTATAAAAACCTAAACATGTACAGAACGCCACCTATTTTTGTTTTGCTTTTCAAGTGCTAATTGTGCAGATTATTAAACTACTTTTTTGCCATCCTGCTGTTTTATAGAGCAACGTGGTTATAAACTATTAGCTTTTTAATTCATCATAAACCAGTTATCTGGAGTTAGGCTGCAGTTGCTCCTTCACCAGATTTACTGCTTGTAATTAATAGACTGTTAAAGTATAGGATGCTTAACCAGGGCTTAAAGTAAAAAAACATCCTGAGCCTGAAACTTATAGTGGTGATAGAAATGAACTATAGCGTTGCTATTGCCACAGTTTAATAAAAAGTGTCTTTGAATAGTGCAAACAATTGCTTCTAACAATACAATTAACAAGCTAAACACTCAAACTTAAATAAGACTTCAGTACATTTCAACTCAAAACAAAATGTAAAATGTCTGTGCCCTAAAGGTTTGCCTTACAGGCAAAAATCCCTCAACATTAAATAAGAGTCCTTTCAGACAATGTTTTTGCAAGTAATTTAGAACATGGAACATTTCCAACTAAATCAGTTTCTCAACCTTTTTCTGGCCAGCAGCCCCATCCCATATCCAGGTCCCTCCCCCCACACCAAGTAATTTGCAGGCTACTTTGCACTGACTATTATTTTATTATTAATATTACTATCACCATTGTAGATGTTTTGATTTTTATGCTTGATTCTGTATTTATCATCAAGATAATTTCCCAGAGAACAAAAACGCAATGTCAATAGAAATTATTTTCACAGGTGTCTACAAAAAATTTAATGAACATTCAAGTTAAAATTGGTAGGCCTAACAGCAGCCAATCAGAGTGGAAAAAATATTCTTATTTTGTGCCATTTTCTAGTTGTTAAATATTCCACAAAATGACCAGATAAAAGATGTACAACATGCCAGTTTAAACTTTGAACTATTTGCAAACCGACTGAGCTCTGCAACATTAAAACATGGATAGAACTGTAACTACATTAATCATAGCTCTTCTTCTCTTCAGTGTTTCTGTCGGTTTCTGGTGGTGCAGCTCTGTGCTGCCTTCAGGAGAATGGGACATCAGAGTATCATCCATAAAATTTCACCCACATGGCATTTATTGTGCAAACCAGAGCTTTCAGTGGAAAAACAAAAGTTCCTTTTAATGCCATTAAAGGTCGAAGGTAAACTTTACATCTTACAATCACAACAATACCAGTTTAGACTTTGAGCAACTTCCTAAAAGCCCCCCTTTTGTAAAAATTTTCGCCAGCTTCCCGTCTTGTCCCCTTTCCTCTAGCCATGCCCAGCGCCACCTGTTTTTAATTCCTTTCTCAAGTAAACGTGTTTCTTTACCGGGTGAGACAAACTCCATCTTCTTTCATATCGCATTTGATTTAACCGCCTAACCGAACCCATGCGCTTCTTTTCTACAAAACGTCTTACAGTCATTGGTCAAGAACACGGGAGCTAGAATTCTGATTGGCAGACATCTTTGTCTATTATCTACAGTTCAGTTGAGGCAGGCCGTTTGGTCCAATGCTCGCTTTGTTTGAAAGTCTGGCCCCCAGACGGAGCTCTTTACGCCTAAGTTTCAAACGTCTGATAAATCTTCCTTATTTTAATTGTAAGTAGTTCTTTAAATGTCCTGTGAGATTATATACTTACCCATGTATCCACAACAACCGGAACTTTCAATATCCAGCAAGTTATTTTCGCAATTTACCGTCTATTAAATCAGTGCCCCCCGGATTAATTACACTCTCTGCAGCTACAGCTGTGAAGTTGCCGTATTAACCCGATATTTGCTGGAAAGTGCAACGTCTCCCCTAACCCCTAACCGTTGGGATTTTTCAGATAGCGCTACGTGTGGCGGAATTACGGTACTGCAAATTTAGATGTGTCGCCGCCGACACGTTCCGGTCTAGCCTGGAGACTACAGTTTGGTTGAGGCGGACGTTTGGTCAAAAGCCGGAAATCCGGCCCCCGGCCGGAGCTCTTTAAGACCTGAGAAGATGCTAACATCTTCAGAAGCGTCGAACTCTCCTGAGA